AATTGAAAAATAAACCCCAACACGTTTCTAAACTCACTAAAACCTTTCTACAAACCAAAAATGAAGGTATTTGATTTTTTGACTGTGGCCAGCCCTTGCTCGATTTTTCTGGGCATTGGCTCCTAACAAGACATGAATTGATTAAAATGAGCCAGACGGTTGAGCTATTCTATGCCGAAACAAAAATAAACTAAGGGAAACGAAAAAGACTTCTAAACACGATGTGGTAAGTACTTACACAATATTTTGGTCTACAAGATCCGAAGACTGAGCCGCAAAGTTTTCTGAACGCGTTTAACAACTGTCAGGTATAAGTTTTCAATACGACTCCAGCAGTTCGAAGTCTGCAAAGTCAGCTAATCCAAATGTCTTCATTTGTAATGATTCAGATTGCTATACAGCAAACAACTTTTTACAATAGACAAACAGCCACATTTTGGTTTAAAATAGCTACGAAACTCTTTGAATTACATCAATGTATTTGATACCAAAATCGCTTTGAATATAACATAGTTGGTTGTGAACTAATGAAGTTCATAGAATATCATGTGTTGAATATTTTCATGTATATTATTACTAAGTAATCATACGGATGCTCGTTTGATAGCATTTGCTACTTGCCTTTGCTTTAAGGACAACCTTGTTAAAGAAAATAATTGAAATATAGAGTTTTCTTATGATATTCAATTCCTTAATAATTTACGAGTCTTCTATCCAATCCGGACACGACGTTTACGTCACATGCAAGTACTTATATTCAAGATACAAATTCAAATTAAAAATAAATAAAAGCGCGTAGAGGGTTTAAATAGCTTTTGAACAGCTGGTAGCTGGAAAGGTATCTTTTGCCTTCAGCAAAATTAAGTTTTCTTACAAAATTTAAACTTTTGAAAAATTTTATTTTCGCGAGTTTTAAAGTTGCAAATGAACCCTTCGACAACACTTTCAGTACTGGTTCTACATAAAGTGAATATTTGATTGGTAAAATATTCCTTGATTCGAGTGATACTTCTCTAAGTTATGAAGGGCTATACTTCCAATATTCTAATAATAATGACAGACGCATCACTCAAATCAAGAAATATTTTACCATTCAACTATTTACTTCATGTAGAATCAGTCATTTCCTTCAAACTTCACCGATTTACTGATTTTAACCATTTGTCTGGTTTACTACTAGTTAAAAGAATACCTGATTAACGGCCGTCTATTTATGCCTTATACCTATACTTTCACCTGTTCGGCGCTAACACACGACCATCACGCGAAATATCAGAACAAAATATGTGTACAGAAAATTTAAAAACATGACGAAGAGAACAAAAACAACAAACGAGAAGAAAAGAACAAAAAAANAAAAAAAAAAAAAGAAAAAAAAAAAAAGAAAAAAAGGAACGAGTAACAATTAAAGAACGAATGAAAATGAAAATACCCCAATTGGGAGTTGCGCTATATAAATTCAATAAATTATTATTATTATTATCATTATTATTATTATCATTATCATTATTATTATTATTAGTATTATTATTATTATTAAATCATTGTTATTATTATAACGAACGAGAATATGCAAATTATAAGTCTCAAAATGTGCCAGCGTTTTACCCTTGCAATTATTTGAAATTGTGATTAATATTTTAACAGTTCGCTTACCTTTAATAATAATAACCAACGTAAAATAAAAGAAGAAGAAGAAAAGATGCATAAATCGTATACGTATCTGAAGAAATCATAATTTATAATCGATTTGTGATATCTGACTGTAGTCCTGCGTGTGTTTGTGAAAAAATTATAATCCCGCCAGCTACATTTTTATGAAAAAACACGGCTGTCTTCTGAAGGTAGGTAGCAGATGTTATTCTTATGGTATAGAGCTGATGGCATAGTTAAATTTCATTTCCCGATTTTCAACAGCAATTGAATAATTATTGGAAAATCACCCTTTTCCCCCTTATATTCGGAAAAAATATTCCATTATCTGTTGACTTGAAAGTATACTATGTGCGTTTATAAAAATAATTGATGGTTGTAAAATTTGAACTAAACGTACTTGTTTAAACGATTTAGAGTAATACATGAAATCAAGAACTACATTCGACAAATCGAGAAAATTAATTGTAAAATTGTAAAAAGCGGTGGGTTTAATAAAAAAACAAAAAAAACAAAATAAACTAAAAACAAATTCAATCCAGTCGGGAAGCGAATAAAAGGATTGGTCACAGTAAACTGGTAATAAGAAGGCTCGTAATTCATAAAAAAAGCTTATATGAAGCAGTAAATTATGATCGACATTGCCTAGTCTACACTGGATTGAAAGAAGGTAGTTCTCACATTCCGCGAAGCGTTTTTTAATTTCCATCAATATCATCAGAACCGGCTCTTTGATAATTCGTTGCTTCGTTTTGAATGCTTTTATAATTCCTAAGTTTAAGTTCTGTCACATCTCATTGTGTGTCTTAATTTTTCCCAATTTTGCTAAACTTCGTTTCCCGTTTCTACAGTACAAATGGCCCTAAATCGTGAGACGTTTGAATATATATTAATTATTACAATTTCCTCGATGAATCATACTTGCTATTCTAGTCTATTAATTTCTAAATTGTTGTTTAAATTCGAAAATGCAATTGTAAGTAAGGCTTTTTGTAGCAAGATCTTAAACTTACTATTACTTACCACTTATTACTGCAAAAAGACTTTTGAAATCTCCAAGTTGTTATACGTTAATTATGCCCGAGTAAACTGTCCGCCATGCTTGATTATAATTAACAATTATTCGCCGAAATGCAAAGTGATAATCTGTACACATGTAGAATAATCACTGTGCCTAAAGTAAATAATTGTTTTAGTATAATTTTAGACTTGAATATATCAGAGAAAAGACGAAATTCAAGATAAGAACGCGTTAAAGTATTAATTTCGCTGTGGCAAACTTTGGGAAACATTCGAGATTGTGTCTCAGAATCACTTTTCGTTTGACCAATCACAAAAATTCTATATACAAGTCTCAAAGTATACTAATAATTTAATATTTAATAATGGTTTATAAAAACATATCGGTTTTTACATTAATTCTTTTTTTTTTCGAAGTCATGAAGATTTCGAAACGTCGTACAAAACTTGTGTCGTGTCTTCTTTACCTTGAATATTACTTCAAAGTCCTTTAAAGACCAAAACCCTTTAAAGATCTAAGTCATCGTGTGGCGAATAAAAGTTACGTGCAACGTAGAATCGTGTAATCGTTCTTTATCCAGGGTTCGTGCTGAGGTAACCACTTGAAATTCAAGGACTATTCAAGGCCGTATACAAGGACCCAAAAATGAATATTCAAGAAGTATGCTCAGCTAACTATGCCAAGGTTTTGCACGGTGGTTGCACAAGGCCGACTTTCAGATTTTCCAATCGTTCTGACTAGATTTATTTCAGAACCATGCAAGTAAAAATTATGATCAAAGCAAGAATTTAAGGAGTTTTCAAGGAGTTTCGCTAAAATCGTAAAATTCAAAAGCTTTTCAAGTGAATTAAATTCAAGGAGTTTTTGCAAGGAGTTTCAGGAGTAGCACGAACCCTGATAATTATGTTGCTATCTTTAATAACAATAAAAATAACGATATATCAATCGTTGTGGCCGTGACCGTGGATACCAAAGATCTTCTTTACTTCAAGTAAGATGTACCCATTTCTTGAGAATTAAAATTAACATAGAACATAGCATTTTGTCATTCTTTCTCTTAGTACTTCAAAATCGTTAAGGTAACTTTCTTCCTAATAAAAATAACAACGTAGGCATCAAATAAACCGTTTTTGCCGTGTCCATGGATACCAAAGACTTTCGTTTATAAATAATCTATTGACTCGAAATCGCACAGACAAATTTAATTAGGTACGCAATAGATAAAAACCCTAAAGCTCGGACCGTTATATCGTGATTCGTAATTACTTGGGTAAGCAGTTTTTTTCTTTCTTTACGGGATTTAGAAGTCGATATTTTATATGGTCTGAAAAATCATGAAAAAAGTTGCGGGTTTTGGCATTTTAATTATGCATTACTAGATCTACGTTTTTCTTGCATCTGTTTCGCAGCTAGATCAGTGTCACATGCAAATAACATATCTGGGTCAATAATTCAAAATACTACTGAAGACGATTCTATGACATGTTAAATATGAATGGGATTTTATGCAAAGAAATTAATGCCAAACTAATCATGCAGGAAGACCTCGTATGAAAACAGAACTAACCTAGAGTCAGTACATGGCTTGGATCAAATTGGACTGATTTAGCGTGTATGTTTAATGTTGTGGAGGGAGACGGCGATTTTGTGCATGTTACGTCATACCCACTATGTTGGTTGACAAAACAAAGCATTCTTCTATTCAGCTTCTGTTGTTGGGTCAACCTAAGATGGTAGCTGTTTCAATGTTATTTATATCTCAAGGGATTTTTGGTAACGTGGTTTGTTAACAATTTAATTTGTTTTTCTAAAAATATACTTCTTTTTTTCTTAATTTGTTCGACAATTTTGTGAACCTTTATTGCATGTAAGTAAGGCCAGGTACAACATATGGCAAGTGTGCTTGGCAACTTACAAAATGTTGAGCGTGAGGTTGCACAATAATGTTGGTGTCATAAAACATGTAATAGATCAAACACGAAGCACGAGTTTTTGAACTGTCTTCTCAAATTCATTATAATTCATTTGTTCTTGAATCTCGTAAGACCAAAAATTCCTTCGCTACTATTGCTTTATACGTCAGTGTTTTGATCAGTGTCTTGACCCGTTTTTGATCAACTAGAGAAGTATCAAGGTGCATGCATGTGACTACAAAGTCGCCATTGGTCATTAACCTCATGAATTATTAATAAATTTGAGAAGGGTAAATAAAGTTATATATATATTTATATATTTTGACCCTCATGTAGTAACTAGAAAGTAGCTGATACAACGTACCATCAATGATGTACTCCGTCCTTAGCCTGCTGATGTCTCTTCCATTCATCCTGCATGACATCTGGTGCCTTGATTGTCCTTCAACGTACACGCAAACGAACTTCATACTCAAGCACCATGTTCTGTCGTCAACAACGGTGAAGAACTACCAAGAATGCTACGATAAATGTGCATCTACCACGGATTGCCATAGCATGAATTTTTATGACAGGAGCCAAAGGTGYGAGTTGAACAAAGGCAGTCACTTGTCCAATCCTGTTGACTTGGTTTACAACGAAGAAGGCACTTATTCGGTGCATGATAGTCGGTCAGTGGAGACGTGCAGTGACAAATATTGTAGTACTGATACCATTTGTGTGATGAAAAATAACACCTTCGAATGCAAAGGTGA